AATGAGTACTATTGTTGAATTGAAAAGATAACATGGGAGAGATTATCATCAAAATACATTATGTACATGTAATGTAATTGTGTAAAAGAATATATTATTTTAAAAATAATCTTATTTTACATACCAATCCCAGTTCCCTCTCCCTTTTGTCCTCCCACCCCCCCACCTTCTCTCTACCTGGGTGCCATAAGGTCCGGCAGAATGGGGAGACTAAGAAGAGGAACAGGGTAAATGGCTGACTGCCATGGCCGGTCGCCATAGAGAGACAGAGCGGGAAACACAGAGAGCGGGACAGGAACAGAGAGAGAGAAACAGAGAGCGTAAAGGGGCAGGGACTTATCTTTTAAAGGGGTCCTCTGCACATGCGTGCAGACTTCTTTCCCATGGACCCTTGGGCTGACTAGGGTATTGCCTGAGTGGATTCCACCAGGTAACAGGGGCAGGCCAGCATAATGCCTGAACCTTTCACAGTCCCCATCCATTCCTCAGACAGGGTGACACCTCCCATGGGGAATCAACAAAGTCTGTCACATCACAACCCCTGAAAAGCCAGGAAACAAGGAGGACCCTAAGGGAAGCATACATGGATCCCTCAGGGAAGGGTAAATAGACAAGAACATATTATTTAAAGACCTTAATTACCATCAAGAGAACAGATGTTTAAAAAACAATGAGAGTTTATTTTCATATGCCTGAAATAAAACAGTGTTTGTCAAATACATTTAATGTTGCATTTTTAAAATGTAAGAATTGTTTTAAACTAAATAAGCATACAAACTAATAGTAGTTAAAGGGAAATGGATAACATTAAATGTACATATTAACAAAGAGGGAAGATCTGAAATTGCTATTCTAGATTTTATTCTTATATATGTAAAAGTAAATAACAACAAAGAAGTAAAAACAAATCTAAAGGAATAAATCAATCATATTAAAAATTTAAAAACTCAAGAAAAATCATTGCAATAAAAGGTTGATATTGAATGCAAGTGGTATACAGACATATATGCAGGCAAAAACTACAAATAATGTTTTAAAATTAAAATTTGGTATTATTAAAAGCTCTACTATAATGATTATATGAAATATGATGTACACTGAAAATATCAAGAAGAAAAGATATCATGGCATTCTCCACAAATTGGATTCAATTCTATGTGAGCTGTTGTCTAATTAATGGCCTCAATTACTTTGTTGCTGCCTGGTGACCATCAATTTTCTGCTATGTAGAATTATTCAACTTGCCACTATGTTTTAGTAAAATGATTGAAGAATCAGTCACTAAGACAGAAGATACACTATTAAAACTTAATCATGAAATGGACATCCACTAGATTTTGCCATATGTTGTTGGTGAGAAACAAATTATTAAGATTAGACAAGGTTTTAACACCTTAGGATACACAATCACTGAGGGACTTCTTAGATACAAATCAGAAATAGACATTGAACTGTCCATGAGCCTTTCTCAAGTATATGGACAATGTCTTGCTTTTATTCCTCTTAATGGAGCAATTCAATACCAAAATAATATCCTTTTACAAATGGTGTTTAAACATTTGGACACCCATATGTTAAAAATAAACCTTGAGTTGTATCTCATACTTTAGAAAATTTACAGAAGATTTATAGAAGATATATCAAACTTAAATTTTAGAAGAACATATCGTTTAAACAATACCCTAATATGTGTTAGGGAATGTCCTTATAAAAGGGTCCAAAATGAAGGAAATAAGAAATTGGATCTCACTCAGGTAGTGGTTGCAAAAACCTTTGATCCCAGTCAGCACTTGGGAAGGCAGGCAGATGGATCTCTGTGAGTTCAAGGCCAGCTTGGTCTACAGAGTTAGTTCCAGGACAACCAAGGCTGTGCAGAGAAACCCTGTCTTGAAAAGAAGAAGAAGAAGAAGAAGAAGAAGAAGAAGAAGAAGAAGAGAAGAAAAAAAAAAAGAAAGGAAGGAGGAAGGAGAAGGAAGGAAAGGAGAGAGGAGGGGGGGGGTGATAGGAGGAGGAGGAGGGAGGAGGAGGAAGAAGAAGAAGAAGAAGAAGAAGAAGAAGAAGAAGAAGAAGAAGAAGAAGAAGAAGAAGAAGAAGAAGGAAAGAAAAAGAAAAAAAACCAAATTGGATCTCAACAATATTGTTTTATTTCAAAAAATTTAAATTAGAAGATAAGCTCAGTAAAGTCATAAGTTGCAAGATTACCATATTTAATTTGACCATAGTTGTAAATGCTCATAAAAATATGTGGAAATAAAGTTTTAAAATGCAGTGACATAACAGCTCCAAATAATGATATACTGAGGTGTTAACTTAGAAAATCATTCAGACACCAAATGCTAAAAATGTTTGAATTAAAAAATGAAATATATTAAGAACTAAATGAAAAGTTATGAAATTTACATGGATTTTTAGACTCAAGATAGCTAAAACTTAGGACCATTTGAGGAGTCACACAGAAACCTACTACAGTAGAAGCTTCTTAAAATATATGCATATGTGAAATAAATCTAAATGGCATCAACAAATAATGAGGGAGGCAAAATCCCAAAATTGACACCAGGCCTATCTAAATGAGTTGTTGGTCAAGAAAGTTAATTGCTTTCCACAAACAAATGGAAAGGCCCTATCGCTAAAGACAACACTATATAACCCAGTAAACACGGAGAAGTCAAATTGGTGACTACCTTCATGCCTACCAACCCAGTTAACTGCAAACCCTGTGATCTACAAAGGTGACATGAGTGCAAGATATGCTGTTGCAACAGTAGCATAAAATTTGTGGAAGTAACCAACCACTATCTCATTGGATTTAAGGCCCACTCTGGGCTGGCATGTAGAAGACTGTAGATAGATTCATTATCTATTGTCATGCACAAAACTTAAGTCCAAATGGGTCAAAGGCCTCAACATAAATCCAGCCACACTGAACCTCTTAGAAAAGAAGGTAGGTGGTATCCTGGAATGAATTGGTACAGGAGAACACTTCCTGAACTTAAAACCAGTAGCTCAGACACTGAGATCTACAATTAATACACGGGACTTCCTGAAACTGAGAATCTTCTGTAAGGCAAAGGACAACAAGACAAAATGTCAGCCCACAGAATGGGAAAAGATATTCACCAACCCCACATCTGACAGAGGGATGATTTCCAAAATGTACAAAAAACTCAAGATGGAACCAATCCTTAACAATGATCAATTACGTGGCTAAGAAACTGAGACTAGATAGTTCATGTACATAGGAGAAAACCAAGTACTGTTATTCTGTTAATGTGCAAACCATAGGGGTTACATATCAGAAATCCTGCATATCAGGTATTAACCTACCCCTGTAATCAGATTGATGAATACCCCAACTATCATCCTAGAGCCCTCATCCAGTAATTGATGGATCCACAACCAAGAACCAAGCCAAGCTCCACAAATCTAGTTGAAGAGAGGGAGGAGGGAATATATGAGCAAGAGAGGTCGAGATCATGATGGGGAAATCTACAAAGACAGCTGAAGCAAGCTCATGGAAACTCATGAACTCTAGACCTATAATTGTGGAGACTCCAGGGGACTGAACTTGAACCTCCATATATGAGAGATAGTTGTAAAGCTTGGACTATCAAAGGAGCCCCTTGCAGCAGGATCATGATACAAACATGGTACATGAGATAGCTTGTTGGAGCCCATTCCTTAGGGTAGGATGCTATCTTCATTGGCACTAGTACCACAATATAATCCTTGTACATGATCTACCTTGTTGCAGGCAATTCCCTATGGTGGGATGCCATACACAATCTTAATGTATGAAAGAGGAGCCTGTCCCTGTCCCTACCTATTGTGCCAGACTATGTTGACTCCTCATGGGAGCCCATACCTAAGAGGAGGAGTGGACTGGGAGTAGGCTAGGGGTGAGGTGATGGGGAGAGGTGAGAGGGTGGGAAGTGGGAGGAGGGGTGGGAGGGAGAACTGTGGCTAGAATGTAAAATGAAATAAAAAATAAAAAATAAAGAACAATTCATAACAACAGCAAAATTACAGTTATAAAGTAGCAATGAAATAAGGTTTTAGTTGGGGGTCGCCATAGCATGAGGAATTGTATTAAAGATTGACAAGATTAGGAAGGTTGAGAACAACTGTACTAAAGGAATATTGCAATAAAATGACAGTTAATGCATTCTGCTATACTCATAGACCAGTATCTTGCTCAGCCAGCCTCACAGAATTTTTTTCCTGAAAGAGATGGGAACTACAACAAAAAACCACAACTGGGCCATATCTAGAGATTAGAGCCATTTCTTGGAACCCCTAGTCCTAAATGGGATGTCTTCATCAAAATCCTTCCTCCAGGGCTCAGAGAAGTATTTCGAAGGAGAGGTAGAAGGACTCTAAAAGCCAGTAGTGATGGAAGACACCAAGGAGACAGTGTCTTTCAGACATAACAGGACTGATTCGCACGTGAACTCACAGAGACTGTGGCAGCATTCACAGGGCCTGCATGGTCTTAAGGACGATGGCATTCTAGCACTGAGAGAGGAAATAGACATGATCCCCTCTCACTAGTCTTGAAGTTATCTCCCATTGACAATTGCTTGAAAAGGTAAAATTGTTTTCTCCATTTGGAATCTCAATGAGTATATAAGCAAGACTTAAGGAACTCCTTGATGGGGAATGTACTGTGTATGTTTATCTTATTGATTGTTGAATAAAATACTGTTTGGCCAATGGCAGCAAGTAAGGCAGGACTAGGAGTCAAAGAGGCTTCTGGGAAATGTAGTAGAGAAGTGGTGCTCCAGGCAGGAAGTGACATAGCAAGGAGAAACAGGAAATGTCCCCTTTCCCCTTCGCATCCACCAGGTGCAGGATGTGAGCCACTGGCAAGGAGGGACGCCAATAAGGCATCTGATAAGATAAGTCTTATAAAATATATAGATTTATGATAATAAAGACTGAGCTGACAGATGATAATCCTAGTCATTGACCAAGCAGCTTTGAACCTAATATAAGTCTCTCTGTGCATTAATTTAGGCCCTAACTCTGGTGGGCGGCTGGTGTAAAGCACACACGTGGTGTTGGGGCTCGGCGGCTTTTGGCGGAAAGATTTATCATAACAACTCCTCATGGCCAAAACAAAAGGTATTCAATGGTTTTTTGGAGATGTTTTGTCTCATGATGCTTTGTTTGGGCATGTTCTTTGCCTTATATGGTTTTTGTTTATCTATTATGGTGGTTTTAGACTTCTCTTCATGGTTTTATGGTGTGTGTGTGTGTGTGTGTGTGTGTGTGTGTGTGTGTGTGTATGTGTGTGTCTGCACACACGTGAATATGTATGCATTTTTCATGTTTTTCTTTGTACTTTTAAATTTTCTGTTTGTCTGTATGCTTTGTTTTAGTCTGATTTTTTCATTTGTTTTATTGGCCTGTTTATTTTTTTAAGAAACAAAGAAACCATGTAGTTGGATGGCTGAGGAGATAGAGAGGATCTGTCAGGAGAAAACGAAGGAGTAATTGTGATCCGAATATACTGTTTGAAAAAATATTTCAATAAAAAGTTAATAAAATATTTTTAAAGCAGGAGAAAAAAGTAAGTATGCCAAAAATCTGATATACACATACATAAGAAATATCAAAAATTCAGTGAGAGAAATAACACTATAAAACAATTTTGAAAAAAAATATTAAAGTTTGTGCCTACAAGGTTCAAAATTGTTTTAGTGCTGTGAGGAAAGACAATTATCAAGTGAGTTGAATGGCCTACTGACTTTTGACAAATAGGAAATGATAATTCAAATAGAATAACAATAAATAATGTTTTCAACCAATCATAATAGAATAATTGTACATTCATAGGTTCTTTTAAAAGAAACTTTATACCTCATATAAAAACAAATTTGGATGTATCTGGGACTTCATTATATAACTATACAACTCCTAGAGTAAGATAATATTCAGGAGCTAAAGTTGTATAAGGAAATCTTAGATAAAACAACAAACAGTGTCAAAAAAAATGTTTTTTGTAGTGTTGTAATGCACAGGAAAAGTCAAGCCATCTACTGGAAGGCACATTTTTATATTTAAGGGTTTTTTTATACAGTATGTTTTGGTCTTATTCTTTCCCCTCTCTAAACTTCTCCCAGATGTTCACTACCTTATCCAGGTAACTTCATATTCTTTCTCTCTTATAAAAAAATCAGAAAACTACAACAAAAATCACCAATGAAACAAAACCAAAGAATATAATTTTGTATTGGACAAGTATTCTTGACCGTGTGGCCTAAGATTTAAAGGTCAAAATTACAACACAGGAATGATTTCTAGGACATTTTAAGAATACATTTCAGAAATATAGGCAAAAGTACACATAGGACCGTATTTCATATGATTAATAAGTGTGGGTTAAAGTTCTACTTATTAGAATGACTGCAATGAAAAATAATAATTAAAACCAGGTGATTCTGAAAATACAGGGAAATTGGGGCTTTCATGCATATGCTTATGGACATAAAATAGTGTAGATACCCTAAACAATACTTGGCAGGTGTTTTTATAAAACTAAACATGCACTTACCACACAAACTAACAATTGATTTCCTCTTGGATTTCTGCCCATAGAGATTAAGGCTTCTATTCACACCAGAACCTATTCACAAATACTAATATAAGCTTTATTTGTGAATAACCAATAGATACTGGCCAAATGTCTTTCAGGGTGTCGATGGTTAAAAAAAATTGATAGAGTGTAATGTAACACTGATCAGCAATAAAAAGAGACAAAATCTTGATACATGGAAGTACTTGTTATATTCTACAAAGAATAAACCTATATAGTTGAGGACAGATTAGTTATTATAGAAATGTTAAGGAGTGGGGAGTGGATGATGAAAACTGAAAGCAGTTGCATTAAAGAGTTTCTTTGTAAAACACCATGATATCATCTTTTAAAATTTACTTGCAGGAAGCTGTACAAGGGATCAAGTTTCATAAAACTATATATACATATACAAATGCATGAAAAAACTAGTGAAATCTGAACAAATTACTGACTGAATGTGGAGGTCATGAAAAATTGGTCAGTAATAATCACTTTGTGAATACACAAGGGAAAACATTCATTCAAAACTAAATGTGTAAGGAATTCTAGGGGTTGCTGACATCACTCACTTGTATCTTGTGACTTCACTATAAACTTGTTTTTGAACACATAACATGTATGCCTTTCACTGTATATACTGTCAAGCCACATGATGCCAAATATTGTTACCTGAAATGCCTCAGCTCAAATTCAAGATCATTGCAATGGTTTTATTCCACACACAAATTTTTGTTTCTTATAGATGTATAATGACTTATTTATAGAAAAAAGTTAATATACTCTTCCATCTTGCAGATCACATGACTCTTTCTTTGAACTGTGTAGTGTTACAGTGCTTGATTTTAAAGCAGCTGTTTGAGTTGCTGACTTGAGTTTCATAAAAAGTTATTTCATTAATTTTGGCTGGGAATTACGAATGAATTTCAAACTATTTCTGAAATGACCCTAATGTACTTCTAACATTTTACTACTTATTTATATGTGTTGATAATTATAAAATAAATGTATCCATTACCTTTGGAAAACATTGTAGATGCTCTACAACCCGTCATATCAAATATTCATCTATAATTTTATTATTTATTTAAAAATTAAAATGCATATCCATATCATTGGAATGCAGATTTGCTTTTGTCTTTAATGATAAAATACATATATATCAACTAATTTAAAATTAAATTTCGTTAGAATATATTAGTACCAAATGTTTGATTTGTATAGCTATTTTATATGCCTATATACCTAGGACCATGCAAAAATTACTCATGAATGCAAATGAGAACTTTCTTAAGATTCTCTGGTTTAATTGAACACATTATACCAAAGCCATTTTACTGGTTTTGATATGTACTATAGTTATATATATATAGGATGCTATAGGTAGGAGAAACTAGCAGAAGGCTTAATGGAGCTGTGTACCTGATTCTTTGCAAATTTTTTTGAGTCTAATATTTCAAAATAAGATTGAAAATCACTGAACAAAAATAGACAATCTTGGATACTTCATCAGTGAGAACTAGGTGATAGAAAACATGTAGAAGCCAGGCGGTGGTGATGCATGCCTTTAAACCCAGAACTCGGGATGCAGAGGCAGGTGGATCTCTTTGAGTTCAAGGCCTTCCTGGTCTACAGGGTGAGTTCTAGGATAGCCATGGCTGTTACACAGAGAAATCATGTCTCTAAATTATAAGCAAAACATGTAGAAAGAAAACATCAATACTCAGTTGAGAAATACAAACAGAATCCATGGTGAAAGTCCCCACACACACACACCTGTTACGCAATTACTCTATAAAATTGTGAGAATGCAGGTTGTAATTCCTTCTCATATTTTGGAAGAATTTTAAAATAATGAAAGCACTGTCACTCAGAGAAATATTTAGCAGTTTCTTATATGCATGTGGCCTTGCAACCCTGATTCTAGCTATTTCCTTTAGGTAAGAGAAGATTTTTGCTCACAGTAAAAGCAGTTCCTGAATAAAGGCTTTTTAATAGCTAAAACTATCAAATCAATGCCAATTTATTTACTATATAAGTAGTTACAAATAAAACTAATACTTTCATATTTTGTATAGTATGCTGGGATTTTTGTGCTGAGGGGGATAAAACCATCAAAGATAGGTAATAGATGTTGTCACAAGGTAAGAAAGTCAGATCAAATGACATGGAAGTGTTTCAGAGAAAGACCAAGAGAGAGTAGGTAGTAACCACTAAGCACCTGCCCACAGGAAGAGACTGCAGTCAGAAGGAAAAGCAAGTGTTTAGGTCTAAAGTAGAAATAAACTGATATGTTTAGAACAAAGTAAAAAATAATGAAGAATGGAACGAGGATATTGGAGCAGTTTTGCAGAATAAATGTGTTTTTGAATCTCTACAAAAGTTACCATTTTTTCTACAATAAATGTGAAGGCTGTACCTCCTTTCTGGAGAAAAAGTACCATTTCTGTCTTACTTGATCCACTGCTCTGCAGTTATTTTAGGTTGTTCTATGGCTTAGATTGGATGACTATTCCTTGGTTATTCATTGTCATTTTTTGCAATTGCAATTGGTTATTAAATTATTCCTATTTTTAAATTCTGTTTTTTTCTGTGAAGATCTTACTTCATGAGCTGCTTTCTACTTTGTTCTTGTCATTTTGATGAGTCTTCAGTGTTCTGGTGTACCACTGCCAGGTGGGATGTTTGATTTTATTAGGAATATGCCATGGGTTGTACGTAATGAGGAACACATATTCTACTTCATTTGAAGAACAAAATATTAAAGGTCACGAATTTTCATTTAGAAACAAAAGCCCACAGTTTTCTTTAAAAGGTCAGACTTTTCAGTTTTAGGAATACTTTTTAATTGATACTCAACTGTTGAAACTGCTACTTGATGGTAAAACCATGAGCTGTTTCTTAATTTAAATTTCTGAGGGCCTAAACTTAAAGCTATTTCCCTTTCTCTCCTGCAAGACTCAGTGCTGAATATTGGTGAAATTCATGAGAACTCCCTAGCCTTAGCAAAAGAAAAATGAGGATGATAAGGGATGATTCACATGGCAAATCCTTTTTCATAAAAAAGTTTCAGCATATGAATAATGATGTGCAATATAGACACCATTTATTTCACTAAGAGCTAAAACAACATGTGTCAGGAAGATAAAATTCCATTTTGTCAACTTCTAGAGCAGGAGCAAAGCACTGAATGAACTGACAGCCACTTCCAGTGCCAAAGGAAGAAGGCAGAACTTTTTCTTGGCAGCAACAGGAAAAAAAAACGAAGAAAATGAAGTATAACCTCACTAAAGGAGAAGGGGAGTCCTTATAAATCCACTTAGTGAATTTATCTCTGTCTCTTCAGACTGGACAATTCTGCCTATGTGCCAGACAGATGAACTGCTTTCTTTTTACAGGAATAAATTCTCATGAGAGGGATGTTGCCTCTGGTTCAGTATCTAAGTACAGCAAAGTAGTTGGTTTTTTGTTCATTTGTTTTTTTGTCATTGTTGTTGGCATAATTATGTGTTATTGATATTTATTTATTTGTTGTATATACTAATGGGTTTCACAAAAATAATTTCATGTATGTCATATAATTTGATGAAATTCATCCATCTCCTCACACTTTATTTTCCCTCTTTGCTTGATATAAGATAGATAGATAAATAGACTAGATATAGAATAGATAGATGTCACATGTTTTTACAAATGTAGTATTCAAAAATGAGAAAATATGTACTGTTTAACTTTCTGAGTCTGGCTAATTTTATTCTATATGATCTTCAGTGACATCCATTTTCTGCATATGACATAATTCCATTATTTATAACAGGATAAACTCCATTAAGTATATGAACCACATTTTCTTCATCCTTTCATCTGTTACTGGACATAACAGCTTTGTCCATATATTGGCCATTATGACTACTGTAGCAATAAATATGGACAAAAAGTTATTTCTATGGTATTCCTTCTTAGAGTCCTTTAGGTATATCTTCAAGACTGGTGTATATTTGAGCCATATGGTCACTTTGGAGGACATGTTTTCTCTTTAGTGATACCATGGGTTGAATTTGGAAGATTGCTTTTTAAGTCCCCAAACAGATAAGTTTGCATATATCTAGTTTTTTCTTAATATTATATGTTTGTGTATATTTAATTTCTTGTTAATACAAGATGCCTAAATATGTGTGGAAATACATGTGTTGTGTGAATAAGTGGTATGTAATATCCATAGGTCTGGCCTTTAATTAGAAGCAGTATGACTTGTTACCCTGATATATTATTTTAGGATTTCACGGTGGACATTTTGAACTAGAATAGCAATTGCATTCACTCCAGAATCCTCATTTAAAATTCCATATTTAGAATTTTATTTCTTTAAAATAAAGATATTTTTCTAAATTTGGATGCTATTTCTTACTGTCACTGAAAACTTAGCTACATTTTAACCTAATCATGAAATTATTTCATATTATTACTGGCCATAGTTTTGTTTTTAGAGAAGTATATCACTGTATATCCTATACTAGCTTTATGCATGGAACAATCCTGCCTTGGTGCTTCAGGTGCTGGGACTAAAAGTATCTGAAAACAATCATGTCTGACTGAGAACAGGTTTTGATAAGGAAAATGGTGAAAGGGTTAGGAAGTGTCAAACACAGATTCACAATTTTTCAAAATGGGAGATTGTACACTAATATCACCTGTCTCTAGTGGTTCTCAAATTTCTAATGCTGTGATTCTTTAATACAGTTCCACATGTTGTGGTTGCCCCCAACCATAAATTATTTTAATTGCTAGTTCATAACTGCAATTTTGCCACTTTATGAATTGTAATGTAAATATCTGTTTTCAGATGGTCTTAGGCTACCCTGTGAAAGTGTCATTCGACCAGCAAAGAGATTGCAATCCACAGGTTAATAAACACTACTTGAAAGGAACTGATTACATTTATACATATTTATTAAAAACATTATTTCATTTAAGTACATAATTATCACAACAATTCTATGAAGAGGACATTATTCCCTTTGGAAAGTATTTGTATACATGCATATAATAGTTTAAATGTTTATACAGATAGTTTCCAATTTATTAGAATTGACTAATTTCTTATGACTAATTTAGTTGTATATTTTCTACCCTCTCCTTTGGTGGGGCTCAGGATTAAATACAAATACACTGACAGTTTTCCATAGAAGGCTTAAGAAAACCAACCTGGGGTTGCTCTATCATTAGATTCTCATTTGATAATATTCATCATGAAAGCAGACTCAATTTGGACTTGAGCCTGGTTAGTAGACCTCAAGAGGGTCAACTTTTCCATTAATAGCTGCATATAAATAGTCAATTATATAGATGAGATAGTTCAAATAGATTCTTCCCAGGAGGAATAAACTTAGAGATGAGAAAAGAACAATGCCTAGATATTCTTTGTATAAGAAATTGAGAAGTGGCCCTCAAAGCAATATCAAGCTTGCCTCCTGAGATTTTACAGTTTGCTATGAAATGCTGAAATTTTTAAATGTTAATGTTTGTGTCACATTTTGGGATCCCTTCTACATGCAGTGAATAACTAATATCTGAATTTGCAAAGAAGGAAGCTCTATTGTTAATCTTCCCTCTTATGCCAGGTTTGTGTTATTAATTCATTAATATGTGCATAGAAATATGCAAATAGGGTTTGTGGTGGTTGCAGGACCTTTTAAAACCTAGTCTCATGCAATGAAGCTAAAACATCATCATATGAATGTGTTTGGCAGAAAACCAACTGTTACCCTAAAACTATTTCTCAAATTTCTGAATTACTTGGAGGATTTGCTCAAATATGGATGAATAGGCTGTATGAATGGGATTCCCTATTCACTATATCTGGGTAAGCCCTAAAAACAGGAATTGTAGCAAGAATCTAGATGTTCTCATGCTGAAGGTTCTGAGACTTTATCAAAAAAAAAAAAAAACATATCTCAAGATGGAACGAATTTATCATTGTGTGCTTTTGGTCTGGAGAAAAATCTGTGAAAGACAAAAACCTGGCATTTTGAGAAAATCTGTTTCATGAGGTATTTATCAGAAATAAAGCCAACATATGAAATTAAGACAAATAATAAAACACAAGACAAAGGCTTGAGAAATGATATCTTCAAGTTTTAAATAACATATGGTGCCACAGATCTTTTCCTATTCTAAGAAGCATTGTGCTTCCCATACCTTTTCCACTCGTGAGCCCATTCTCACAGGCTTTGCAGTTTATTTAGCAAGAGCCAGTTTGCAAAACTCAGCCGTAATGAAAATTAAAGGGACTGACACTTTCAGTGTAAGTTTTCTGTATTTAATGATTTCTAAATTAGAATAAGTAGCTATAGAGGCTTTATCCCTAAATAGAACATATATATCACTCCGCTCCCCACATAGCTCAGGAAACATAATAGAATAAGGGGCAGGATATTTTAAGAGGTTGTGGATGACAGCTGCAAGAGTGTCTTCTGGACTGAACAGGGCCATTACATGATAAGCTCACAACAGCTGTAGTTACCTACACCAAATCAAGAAAGTCAGAATCCCAGCATATAAAGGGAAGGAGCTTGAAAAGTCCCAGTCCTAGCTAAGGAGCTTGGTCAATTGGAGGCTACTGGCTGGGGGAAAATCAGTTTTCTTCAGGACCCCCCCCCAGGTTGTCCATGCTCTGGTACACATATGGACAACTCTGGTTGAACTCAGTAGGCTGTGAAAAGAGCACCTGAAGTTAGAAGAGGACATGTTGGAGGGGTTTCAAAGAGGAGTTGGGCAAGGGTTGGGGGTTATCAAATGCATTGTACACATGCATAATGTTCTTCAAGTGAATAATATATTTTGGAAAAGAAGACAAGTAACTTTGAAATGCAAGGAGAAAATTTCTGGATATAATGCAAATGGCTCATAGACTGTGAGGCAAGCTCAGGGAATCAGCCTTAATAAGTCATTACAACTGAAAAGCAGGGAAGAGCTGAGCTGTTGACCAGTCTGACTTTGGTCCTGCTGAGATTTTCTATTTGTGTAAAAGAAACCCATTAATTAAATAACCTTAGTTTCTAAACAACAGGGAGAAAAATCAATTAGAACACCTTGGAGAGTGAGAGGGAATTGAGGAAAATTCATTATCAGACACCCAGCATTTCTGGAGAAGGGAAGTAAAATATGACCTCTCCCTGTCACCAAGTAATGATGTCTTCCAGATAATCATAGGGAGACAAATGTTTTAAACTCAAGCCACTTGATGGATAAAACAACAAAACTACAGGCAGTGAATATCCTAAATAAGCCTTATTTTTTAATGAGAGGAAAATGCATAAAGTGGTTAACACAAATTCAAGGTAAATAAGTTTAGAACCATTGTTTTGCCACTTATTTTTGCCACAACCTATGTTTTCCTGTGCTTGTATTAAACATAGATTTTCTGATGAGGGAAAATAAAAGCAACATAACTTGCTGCATTTGAGATTTCAGTTCCCTGTAATTTATTTTTAAGATTTTGGGGAATATTACTTTCTATAAAGCTTCAGTGCAACAAAAACAGTTTCTTCCAGCTAGCCTTATTCCTATCCTACATTCTCCCCCAAGTTCTTTGCCCTCTAAGTCTCTTTTTCTCATTAATTCCTCCCCTTACACATACTTATTCCCTTTGATTGACAAATAAACTTCAGTCTCAGGGCATTTGTACCTACTGCTTTATACAATCCATTTCTTCATTTTCTTGTGGGTTACTGTTCCAATTATGTTTATGTCAGTGATGTGATTTCTCTGTTCATCCACTCTTTAGTTGTATTTTATCATTTATAATCCTCATACACATTGTTAGGTTTCTTCATACTTACAGTATAGTAAATTACACATTGTTTTCTTTTTCTTTCCTATACTACATGAGTTTTGGGTTATTTTTCTTCTTTATTTTTATGTATGCCACACATTAAAGCTTAATTAAATATTTATTGAGTGAACTATATAATCCAGCCAAATTGTCCTTCAGTTCAAGCATCCAAATGGCTTATTTTTTGACTCACCATAAATCAATGGAGATATTTGCATATGTGTTAGTTCCTTATTTCTCCTTGTATATGAGAGCATGGCCACATTAAAAAAGCTATTTATTTATTGAATTTATTTATCCCATACTTTTCTGTCTTATTATTTTTATTTACATAAATCATATAGATGAGACATCATCATACTTGTTTTATGGACAGCTAAATGGGGATGTTGAGAGCTTATATGATTTATCCAAACAC